AATTTGCATTACATTGTTAAATGAGCTGTATAGGTACAATACCTTGAACGATATTAGAAACACATGTACAGTATGTTTTAACCAAATTAATCTCAAATTTGTATCAATATACAGTATTTGTATACAATATACAGAAGTCCAATCCAATGTAAAATATGTAAAACTGATAGTTTCTTTTTAGAAGTATATTTAATAATCTACCTTTTTATCTTATCATATCTATATTTCTAGATGTAGATTCAATAATCTGCCTTTTATCTTATATCTATATCTTCCCTTTTTTCTTTTCAGAGTAGATTCAATAAGCTACCCTTTTTATCCTACCTGTATTTTTTTTCTAAACAAAAACCTTGAATCTAAACATCTTTGTTCAACTTTCTTCCTGACTGTAGCCAAAAACATTTTGTAACCAGTTCTCCTAAACAATGACAAATATCCATAATCACTGACCCAAGACCACCCACCCCACCTCTTGGGCGTCATGTTCTTAAAGTTACTTCCTGCTGTATGGGGGTGATGGCATCTTTAGGAGATCCTGAAAAGAAAAATTTGGGTTAACAGTCAAGCAGTATCATCTTTTTCCAGCCAGTCTAAGCATAATGGGAGAGTTCAGGGCTTGTCTCAAGTTCTGGCTAGAGTAGTCTGTGAGGCTGGATCATCTCAGCCAGCCTCCTCAAAACTGTTCTGAGCAATGTCTACGAGACTGGATCATCTCCACTGGCCACCTCGAAATTGTTCTGAGCAGTTTGTAGTCCAAAGTCAATCTTTAGTTGGTATTGTTCAGCTTAATGGTGTTATCATAGTCCTGGTGAAATTGTCATTGTGGGGCCCCATCTTCCTTTTGGAGACTTCAAAGGTCGCTGTTAGGTGTGGTCATGGTACACTGTAGAAAACTGGTAGCAACACAAACCCGAAATCATGTACAAGAAGGTACATGAAACCTTTTTCTAGAATTAGTTAGTATTCTATATGACCATTAATCTGAAGACAAAACCTTTAAAATGTTTTTAAAATATGTATGTATATTACTCTTATAATGTTTACATAAATATAATATTTATGCTTTAAGAAAAGCTGTTAAAAGTCAAAATAAAACCAGAGGATTAAGAGATTAGTGGCAATACCATAGTCCTTAAATATTTTACTTCTGTCCCATATCAGATGGTTCTTCTGACATGAGACAGAGTTTGGATTTTACTTTAACAAGCATGCTTGGATTTAGAGAAGGAGAGGGCCATTCTCCAACTCCAAAGCCAGCTTTAATCTTCAATTGGATGGGCACTAAAAAGAACCATCTGATTATGTCTGTAGAGAAAAGCAGGAACAAACATTTGGGAAGACTTATGAAATTTTATCCAGTTGGAAATGTGATATACCAATAGGGCAGAAGTGGCGCACGCCTTTAATCCCAGCACTTGGGAAGCAGAGGCAGGCGGATCTCTATGAGTTCAAGGCCAACCTTATCTACAGAGCAGAGTTCCAGGACAGCCAGAGCTATACACAGAGAAATCTGTCTTGAAGAAAAAGAAGAGTAAAAAAAAAATGTAATAGATTGTTCCTTTAAAATGCCACCATCTCAATTGGAATGTGTTGCGGCTGTCACCAAGAAAACCCAGTGTCAACGAAGCTGCAGGAAGGAAATATTTCACTATTGGTCAAGGTGTATCAAGCTGATACATACATTAGATTTAGCTCTAATGCAGTGGATAGCAACCTGAGTCAGAGCTCTCCATAGATTTTGGGGGACTGTGTGTTATGGGGAATGGGAAAAGTCAGTAAAGGTAGTGAATGTGGACAAACCCTTCAAGGGCCTGATGTGAAGCAAAACCCAGGGGATAGAAAAAGTGTGGGGGTGTCATACAGGGGTCTTTAAATGTACAACCGATTAAGTCCCTACCTAGAAGCCAAATCCTCAGGTTACTTCTAGAGAACAGAAGCTTTGGGGTCTCCAGACTGTGTGTATCCCCAGATTTAGTTCCCCACAGACCCCAGGCCAAGCTACACCCAGGGCAGGTCCTCTGAGGAAGGAAGGTTGAGTGTCATTAAGCACTCTCATCCCTGTAACCATTCCTAAAGCTGCAGCAGGGTGAGGTGGGCAGGTCAGAGCCATGGAGGCAGAGGGCATGATGAAAGTAGAACCGGAGCCGAGCAAGCTCAGTGTTACCTTGACCTCTAAGATGCCCAGCCACCTGGAGCTTCCCAGGCACTTAGCTGCTTCCTGCTGGCACCTTTGGACAGTTGCCATGGAAACTACATGCCAGGCGTTTTATGCCAGTCATTGCCTGGGAGCGGTCCTCCCACAGGCTTGTTTTCCAGCATTAATGGGTACATTACTTCCTCCCCTCCTCCATCTTCACCCTATAAAACGAGGTTCTTTGGCTGCTGCTTTTCTCTGTTGCCTGGCAGGACTTGCCCTGAGGTGTCTGAAATATGAGACTTTTCATGCGAGTGCACAAGAAACACTTTGAAATGGAAACTTAGCCAGTGAGGAAGAGCTGGAGTAGTAATGTGGGGGGGGTGGCCGGAGGGGCCCTGCAAAACCACAACAGATGGGGACCAAGAAAGACTACCTCTCTAGCTCCCAACTCAGGGGCATCTCTCTACCATCTACGAGTAGGCTAAGGATGCTTCAGCAGACACGAGCAACATGTGTACTAAATAGACATAGGATACAGTGAGCTGCAAGACTCACCAGACCCCATCTGCCATCCTTTCCTAATCCCACAGTAGGACAGCCTCCTATTTGCAAGAATCACAGGCCCTAATACAGGACCCAAAGAAGGAAAGACGGGAGCAGTTTAAGGAGGAAGGAAGGAAGGAATAAAAGAAAGAAAAGAAGAAAGAAAGAAAGAAAGAGAGAAAGAAAGAAAGAAAGAAGACAGGCAGGCTAACAAATGCTTGTGTGAACAATGAGAATTCCTGGTCCTGTGGTCTCCTGGAACCAACTATGGGGCTTATAACTGCCCAATGCTTGAATTCACTTTAGTAGATTTCAATTTTCACTGGTTGTTCAAATAAATGACCAAACTCTCCAGCCAGGAGTCAAACTATACTCCTAGTCCCATGGCACCTTAGCTGTATGACTTTGAACAAGTCGCTTATATATCTGATGATCTTGAATTCACTAGGTAGCTGAGGATACCTGTGAACTTCTGACCCTCCAACTTATACCTCCCATAGGAATGTGCCACCATGAACCATGAATGCAATGCTGGGGACCGAAGCCAGGGCTTCATGCACATGCTCTACCAACTGAGCTCTCCAGCCCGAAGTCTCCATTCCCTCAGCTGTAAGACAGTGCTTACCTGATGGAGTTGTGGGGAGGGTTAAATCAAATAATGCCTGCCCGGGCTTGCATTGCAGTTAAGATACTATTAAGAGGTCAAAATCTTATTCCTGAGGAATCAGTTGCTGCTGCTCTGGGGTCAGAGTTGATAGAGGAGTCTAAAAGAGTACTCCTTCCTGTGACCAGGGGCAAGACCCATTCTTTCCCAGGCTGCTTCTGGAGAGAGGCAGTCAGAGCCACATGCCCAAGCAGCTGGGGTCACGCTATCAGTGTTTTCCCTTCCCTTGCTGGTTTGCTCTTCTAGTTCTTCATTGCCCATTCTCAGAGAGTGGAGCTGATTTATATCTATGCTGTCAGTATGGTACACGAGACAGTCAGGTACCATATTTGTGGGACCTAGATTTAAAATTTCTTTCTTCTTTCTTTCTTTCTTTCTTTCTTTCTTTCTTTCTTTCTTTCTTCCTTCCTTCCTTCCTTTCTTTCTTTCTTTTATTTTTTGGTTTTTATGAGACAGGGTTTCTCTGTGTAACAGCTCTGGCTGTCCTGGAACTAGCTCTTGTAGACCAGGCTGGCCTTGAACTCACAGAGATCCACCTGCCTCTGCCTCCCAAGTGCTGGGATTAAAGACGTGTGCCACCACTGCCCAGCTCATTTCATCTTAATTCATTTAAAGATAATAACCATAGTACTGATAGGGACAGTACTGGACAATGTGGCTCTATGCATCAAAGATACATAAAAACTGACTGGCCAAGGATTTACTCTTCAACTGTCGCTTGAATCTCAGAAAGTCTTAGCAAAGAGATACATCAGGCATGGATAGCAGCCATTGCATAGCTCAGAAACTGAGTCCAGACAATGTTAAAGGGCTTTTTCCGTGGCACAAAGGGGTTAAAGACATAGCCAAGACTTTTCTTCCATCTGAAGAAGGAGCATGCTCCATGAGAGCACCTCACATCAGCCCTCCAGCTCCCCTGGCAGTCTCTAAGCAAGCTCTCTGCATCAGTCTCCTGCAGCCTCCCTTGAGCTACCCACCTGGAACAGTTCCTGAACTCGAGCATCTACCCACTGCTCCATCTCCAGCCAGCGCTGCAGATGACTCCGGTCGTACTTGACCGTCAGCCGGCTGGGTCTCCGGGACCTGGGCAACTTAGAAATGTCCAAGTGACTCTTTGATTCTGAGTCTGTGGATGATGTCCTCCTTCTCTTCTCAGAATCCCAGTGGACCTTCTTGTCAGGGTTGGGAGATGTACAGGAAGCAGGACTTGAAGACAGCATGGGCAGATCGGACTCGGCCAGGAGCTGGGGGAAACTGCCAGTCCAGGCAAGAGCATAGAGGAAAATGAGGGGACAGAGAATGGAGGGAGAGGCCCACAAGGAAGAAAGGAGGTGGGAAGAGGGCCAAGGCTCTAGGGAGGGGCAGGGGTCAAAGATCAATAGGGCTTTGTTTCATGCTGGGAATGAGTCTCCTGGCTTCTCTCTGACAGCCAGTGGCATGCAGAACCATTCCCCAGCCTTCTTTCTGCAGCTGCTAGTGCCCACAGAAATGTAAACCTCAGACAAGCCAAGGTCAAGAGGCTGCCAGGCCTTGAGGAGAAGACGGAAGGAGCCCGTGAATCCTGGGGGAGGGGGGTTCCATGTCTTCCATGGGTAGCTCTAGAACGTGACTAAAGTCACTCACCTGAATTCCTTCAGCATCTTCTTGGAACTAAATGGCCCACTGCAAACCCAAGCAGCTGTGGCCAGACAGTTCTGGTTCCTGCCGGAGTAGGATTCCTGCCCAGAGTGAGGCACCACCAAGGGCAATCTCGGCCAGTGGGTAGAGTTGGCAGATGGCTACCTCTGACCCTATGCCTTGTGTCTGGGTGTGTCTGAATTTGATCTGCTATCGACTCTGCTGCTGTGATTGTTAAAGGCAGATTTATGCAGCCTGGCCTACATTTCACATTATCATTCTTGAGCCCTGTTTGTTGTCACATGACCCTCCCCTGATTCAGCTTCTTCCTGATACAAGAATCCCGAAGACCTAACTTCACACAGGTGTCAGATTTGTAAACAAGCTTGCCATCTAAAAGGAGAATATTTTCATTTATCCAGTCTTTATAAAAAATAATTTCAAGTTACAGAAGTTTTTGTGGTTTGTTTTTCTTTTTACTGAACAGCTCAGAGAGACAAATAAATGAAAAAAAACGTTTTTCTCCCTTCTCCAGATGTAACTTCCAACTCCTACCATCATGTTTAGCTTTAGTTCTCTTGAAATAGTGATTGTCCTTTAATGTGGTATTGTATGTGTGTGTGTGTGAATGTCTGTCTGTCTGTCTGTCTGTCTGTCTGTCTGTCTGTCTGTCTGTCCATGTGTGTCTGTATGTGCTGGGGACAGAACCAAAGCCTACATGTATGGGGCAAGCACTCTACCACTGATAAATAACTGATTGAACCTTGGGTCTTGTACATGCTAATTTTTAATAATGTATTTCTGTGTATTATTGCTGTGTATGAGTGCAGGCAAGTACATGCCACGGCATATTGTGGAGGGCTGCTCTCTCTTCCCTCTTTCTCACTGGTGCTCCTGCAGGAGGCACTGTCCATGATCTGGGTGATTCTCCTGTCTGCCTCCATATGACTGATCAGAGAGCTGGGATTACAGGTGTGCAGCACGGGGGACAGCTTTTACATGACTCCAAGGACTGAGCTCAGGTCATCCAGCCCCCACAGTAAGACTTTTAACACACTGAGCCATCTCACCAGCCCAACCCTTTTTTCCCTTTTTCTTTCTTTTTTCTTTTTCTGTTTCTTTCTTTCCTTTCTTCTTCTTTTTTTTTTTTTTTAAGCCAGGTCTTATGTAGCCCAGGTTGGCTTCAAACTTGCTACATAGCCAAAAATGACCTTGAACTTCTCTTTTTAAAATATTTATTTTTGTTTTTAATGTATGTGTATATATATGGTATATGCACATGAATGCAGGTGTCTTCGGAATCTAGAAAAAGGGTCAGGTTCCCTGGAGTTGGCACTACAGGCATGTATGAGCTGCCTTAATCTGCTTCCTTTTTTTGTTTGTTTGTTTGTTTTGTTTTTTTAAGACAGGGTTTACCTAACCCTTTGAAACAGCCCTGGCTGTCCTGGAACTCATTCTGTAGACCTGGCTGACCTTTGACCTCAAACTCACAGAGATCTGCCTGCTACTGCCTCCCAAGTGCACACTACATTACCACCACCCACCTGGCTTTTTTTTTTTTTTTTTTTTTTTTTTTTTGACAAGCCTGGTCTATAGAGCAAGTTCCAGGACAGCCAAGGCTACACAGATCACAGAGGCATGCTGCTTACTGGCTTGTTCCTCATGGCTTGCTCAGCCTGCTTTCTTATAGAACCCATGACCACTTGCCCAGGAGCACTGTCCACAGTGAGCTGGGCCCTCCCACGCAAATCATTAATTTTTTAAAAAATGCCTTGAGGGGCAGTGGTGGCACACACTTTTAGTCCTAGCACTTGGGAGGCAGAGGCAGACAGATCTCTGTAAGTTTGAGGCCAGCCTGGTCTACAAAGCTACACAGAGAAACCCTGTCTCAAGAAATCAAAAACAAAAATGCCCCACAGGCTTGCCTCAGACCAATCTTGTGGAGGAATTTTTTTTTTGTCGAGGTGCTCTCTTTCCAAATGACCCTACTTTATATTGACAAAAAACTAACCAGCACCCTTCTGGTCTTCTGCAAGTGTGGTTAAGTGTTCTCAAAGCTCAGCATTTCTCCAGCCCCATCTTGAACTTGTGATTCTCCTGTCTTCATGTCTCAAGGATGAGGATCACACCAGTTTATGCAGCCCAGATCTCCGGAGCTGTTACATATAGGGACTAGGGATGCAGCTCAGTTGAGTGTTTGCCTAACGTACAAAACAATCTGTACAACACACTGTAGTCCACAGGTTTCAGGGTCAGGGTGTGTTTCTTTGGTTCTAGTCTTACAGCTAAAGTGTTTCTTTCACTGGCTCTGGTTTTGGGGCCAGGGTGGGTTTCTTTCGCTGGCCCTTTTACCTTACAGTCCCTAATTTTTGTTTACAAACTTCCTTTTAGGTCTTGTAATGGTTGTCTTTTTGTTTTGTTTTTCGAGACGGGGTTATTATTCTGTGTAGCTTTGGAGCCTGTCCTGGCACTCGCTCTGGAGACCAGGCTGGCGTCGAACTCACAGAGATCCGCCTGCCTCTGCCTCCCGCGTGCTGGGATTAAAGGCGTGCGCCACTATGCCCGGCTGTAATGGTTGTCTTAATAATGTTAAGTATCTATGCTCAGTGTATTGACTTCCACTGTTATTGTTGACTCCTGAGAAATAGCTTTAGAAAGAAGCCAGTGCTGGGCATGGTGGCACACATGTGTAGTCCCAGGACCCAGGAAGCAGAGGCAGGAGGGTTATGAATTCAAAGCCACCTGTGCTACATAGCAAGATCTTGTCTTAAAAAAAAAAAAAAAGAGAAAAGAAAAAGCCAGGTATGGTGGCTAAAACCTATAATCCCAGGACTTGGGAAAATGAGGCAAGAGGATTGCTGTGTGTTTAAGATTTGCCTAAGGACATAGTGAGCTCTGGACCAGCTTGAGCTACAAGTGTGAAAGCCTATCTTTAAAAAAATGGACAGACTGAAGAACTAGTTAGGGGCTAATACTTAACAGAATTTGGCAATGAATTGGAACACACTAATGTTGACACTTGTCATAGACGCCTGCACAGGGCACTCAGGCATGGGGCTTCTCAGCCTGCTTCTTTGTTTTTAGGATGGGGGATGGTGGGAGTCTAGACGAACATGCAGCCCGGGCACTTGTGAAGCCCAATGGCAAGGTAGACAAAGAGGGTAAAAGACTGGCAGAGGGAAGGTGTCTGTAGCAAGTCTTTCTCTGTACCGCCAGCTCCCAAATAATGACACTCTTATAACTTAAATCAATCCATTTATATTAATCTATATTCTGTCGAGTGGCTCATTACCTCATCTCTCCATACAGCTCAGGCTGCTTCCCCCATGTCTGGCCGGTGACTCCACCTTTCTCCTTCCCAGAGTCCGCTCTGTCTCCAGAAGTCCTGCTTGTATTTCCTGCCTAGCAATTGGCCATTCAGCTTTTTATTATACCAACCACAGCAATATATTTTCACACAATGTACAAATATTCCAAATTTCCCCCTTCTTGTCTAAATCAAAAGGAAAGGTTTTTGTTTTTTTTTTTTTTTAATTTTATTATATATACAGTCTTCTGCCTGCATGCCAGCAGAGGGCACCAGATCTCATTCAAGGTGGTTGTGAACCACCATGTGGTTGCCGGGAATTGAACTCAGGACCTCTGGAAGAATAGTCAGTGTTCTTAACCACTGAACCATCTCTCCAGCCCAAAAGGAAAGGTTTTTAACTCTAATACAGTAAAATTATATTCAATAAGAACAATTATCAGGCCGGGCGGTGGTGGCACACACCTTTAGTCCCAGCACTCGGGAGGCAGAGGCAGGCGGATCTCTGTGAGTTTGACACCAGCCTGGTCTACAAGAGCTAGTTCCAGGACAGCCTCCAAAGCCACAGAGAAATCCTGTCTCAAATAAACAAACCAACAAAAAGCAAAACCCCTTCCCCCAAAAAAGGACAATTATCAGGTAAAAATTACATTCACAATGTCTCGTCTATTTGTATTTAGCATATTCAGGGAAAACACTCTATTATCTATATTATCTTGATGAATTTAACATTTTATATCTAAACCATTTTCTATCACAACTTGTATTACCATCCTAAAACTGTTTTATACCTAAAGCATTTTCTTGGATAAACAACTTAAGCTTTTATGTTTCTCTATCTTATAAACTTTATACCTCCTTGGTGAGTTTCTTTTTCGAATTTGGTAAGAAAACTGTAACTATAACTATCTAGTCTTCAACCTCATCAAAGACCCAAGAATGACACAATATTATCTAAGTAAACAGGAAGTAAAGAGCAACTGACTTCCAAACTAAGAAATGACAGAGAGAGCTGGATGCCTGGACAGTCACCCAATGTTCCTCTGCAGTATTAGGGACCTAGAACATCTGACAGACTTTTCTGTGAAGCAGGCATTTTGAAAGGCTGTCTTACCTTGTCTTGGCAAAGTTCTGCAGTCATATTTGTCTAGTTTGGTTAGCATGTCAGCATTTGAGGCAAGGGCAGGCCCTTGCTCAAATGGCCAGCCTTATCACATTGAAAGCAAACTCCATACGGAGGTTCTTCAATGCCCATCATCCTTTCTTGAAGTAAACTAGTGCTGCCAGGAGCGGATG